ACTGGGTTGCAATTTACATATGTGCAAAAACGCATAAAAATACACTGTCACGTCGCTATTTATCTTTTTCTACACCGAATGTTTTTGACGTCTAGTTTTCCTGCGTCAATTGTTTCCAGTGCTTGTTTGTTTCACCCACTGCGTAATCCCGGCATGCTAAATCGTCCCGAATAAATGCCGCTCGATAACGTGACTTTCATGGTTATCAGCAAGGCTAGCAGCAAATGCGTCATGATTTAATTTTGCAAGAGGGGATTCTCGGGTTCTGAACATTAGGCGTTTATACGTTATATCGCAGACATATTTAAGCGTAGTCACATTTTGTTGGAGCATTGGACGTTGCCAGCGTGTTTCTGCTTTTTACAGGGTTTGTCAACACTGGGACCTGGTCCGTCGACAGAATACTCAAGTTTCTTGCCGCTTCGAAACAAAACAGTTTCGTTGTCTATGGAAACAAGTCCATTTCATCCATGGCATGGCAGCGCCGCTGAAGAAGGCGATTATCAGAAACAAGCACAGATTGGCTGGGACAGTGAAGCTGATTTCATTAACGAAGAGTGTGAATTGCCCTATCCGGGGTAATTTTTCACGCAATTCCTTCCTCCTGAAAAAGTCAAAACAGGCACTGACCAGGCATTTCTTCATGGTCGGCATATCCGTTAAAAACCGTGCAGCATCACGTGTCAAAGAGCTTAACGCTGAAGGGCAGGTGATCAGATGGTCTTCAAGGCAATATTCCTTCGATTTCCTTCCAGCCTATAAAAATCAAGGTGCAATTTGCAAGTGTCAGGCATAAACGAACACGGCTTGACTGGGCGTTCAAAAAAGGACACTTAAATTTATTGAGATGCATTACACACACCCTGTACATCAACCATGCCAGGGCCTTCTGTTTTTTTTTTGGATTATCAGCACTGTTTCTAACTAATGTATCACTCAGATCGTAAAACTTGTATGGAGCCCTTGATGTGCAACGCACGCAAGCCAACCTGTGCTCAGCTCTCATGTGCTGAGTCCGTATCTGCATCATCTTCCGTATGTATGCACGCATTCTTTGGGGAGATCATCCGATTTATCTTTTCGCTTCTCACAGTTATCAGCATTAATATGCGACCTCCACTAATTATAAGCAAAACCAGCACTGCGTCATGCGCAGCGGACTTTTCTCAAACGATGTTATTTTCCGCAGCAGTTATCTGATAAAACGCTCGGCAGCAAATGCTTATCATTTTTTAGAGTATTTTCTATGGACGAAAGTAGTTTTTTGGGCAAAAAT